GCGAGCGCTTTGTCCTTGTCCTTGTTCTTGTACTGCCTCAAAATCAAGTGTGCTGTGTGAGTGTGTGTTGTGTTTTTGTGCTTGTGTGCTTGTGCGATTCTGTCAGGAGACGATTAGCAATCCCCCCCGATTAAAGGTTTCCCCTTTTCCCCGCCAGGTTCTCACCAATATTAAAGCCAAGGGCCAACAAGGCTTCCCAAAAAAAACACTTATATACCCAATTATTTTTTGGGCCCTCCCCAAAACCCCCCCGGTTAAAGGTATCCCTCTGCAGTCCCTAAGCCAAGAAAACTTGCCAGAAAAGGGACTTTCTTTCTTGCTTAGTAGTTGCTTAGCCTGTGCTTAAGCCCACCAATACTAGGTTTCTATTGAACCCCTCAAGTTCTCGTCGAACATGTGCTTCCCCAAACATACAATTTTCGTTATTCAAACTTGTAAAAATGACAAGGTGTTCAAGCTCAAAAAGGAGACCCCCCTTAGAGGCCAGCCCCCCTCATTAACAGAAAACCCCCGCGATTCATCAGGGCTGTTTTGGGCTCAAAACCAAACAAACTGCTGTTGCCTTTTAATGTCCTACTGCCCAGAAGGGGCCAGAAGTAAGAGGACGAGGACCGACGGGGCTCGAGATTAATCAGGGGGGTCTTCCCAAAAATCTCAGTTTTGGGGACTTGTCTAAGCCTTGCCGACCTTGAATGGGGGGGGTTCACATTTGTTAGTTTGGTCCGTTGACTAGATCTCTTGACTGGTCAACAACAGCTCCTGTCTGCCTGAACTATTGCCACCCCTGTGACCGAATTCACAGTCTTGCGCACATGAGTCTATCCCACATGTGATTCTCCTCTTCCCCGCAGGAAACCATAAAAGAGGCTTCTAGTTGAGGTGGGGGCGGGTTTGGGCTGTAGGGGAGGGGTTTGGGCTGTAGGGGAGGGGGGAGGGTCGGCGGGGGCCCCAACGACCCCTGGCTCGGGACCCCACGCCTATGCTGGTCCCAAGCGCTGCACCAATCTCCGCATCGTCGTTCGGCGGAGGCACGACGGCGACCAGCGTGGAAGTGGTGCTCGAAGTGCTTGATGAACTTGATGTAGTTGTAGATGTGCTGGATGTAGTTGTAGATGTGCTGGATGTGCTGGAAGTGCTGGATGTGCTGGATGTGCTGGATGTGCTGGAAGTGCTCGACGTGCTCGATGTGGTTGTGGATGTGCTGGATGTGGTAGATGTGGTAGTTGTGGTTGAGTTGGTGAAAGAGCTCGTGCTGGAGCTGGATGAGGTGAAGCTGGATGACGTGCCGCCTCCAACTAAAAAACCAACATCTCAGAAGTTGTGCCAAGCCATGTGAGGGTGCAGCTGGGAACTCTACATCCAGCAAAAAACAACATGAAATAGCCTCGTCTGTTTTAAACCACACGGCCGAAAGGCCTTGTTCGTGGACATAGGTGCAAGGCTTTCATCAACGTACTGAGCACCGACATTACACCTATTCTCCGGGTACCTTCCCCATTCTTTCCAGGGATCCTGCTTTCTAGAAAACCTCCGGAATCCCAGGGAAAACGGCTGGTTGTTTTTTAAAGGATGCTGGCAAAGAGTGGGGAATCAACCCCTAGACCTATCGCCAAGGCCACAAATCAAGGCGCTTGTGTACAAACGCTGTTGCAACTTGTTCTTTTTTTGCATGCGCAGGGTCCAAAGGCAAAGAAGCACACATGGACAGGCGTCCTCAAAAGGATTTCAGAGATCCCATGCCATTTTGCGACGCCCCGCCACAGGACTTGGGTGTTTCTGAAAAACAGGGGAGTTATCGCAGGTGTCGGTCTCCTTGATGCTCTTCACACCCCTTCAACATCCGCGGTTTTGCTACTACGCAGATGAGACATCGCGCTCCTTCGATAGCCAGGGAAGGAGAAATGGACTGACCCCCATAAACCCATCCCCTTTCTCTATTTGAACATTTCCAAACCCGGTTCATTCCCAACACAGGGGCGCTGGAGTGCCAGTCCAAGGGTCATCTGCTACAGTCCCAGTTGTATTCGTCTTCGCAGTCTTCGCAGTCGCAGAAGCCGTCAGCCACAAAGTCCTTGGGAATGGTGCAGGAGGACACAGGGCACACCTCGGCGCAGAGACGTCTCACGAGGTCGTTTTGGGTGTGTTTTCTTCTTCTTCTTCTTCTTCTTCTTTTTGCGGGGGTTGGACACATAAAAAGGGGCACCGCAGTTTGGGCTTGGATTTTCATTGGGAAAAAAGGTACTATTTGTTTCAGTAGAAATTGACGGAGAACCCGCGCAAAAAGCAAAAGCAAAAGGCACCACTGGGTGTCCGGGACACGAAGATTGTGTTCGGGTCGTTGCTCCGGTCAACATAAAGCCTAAGTGATGCGCGTGCGAGACACATGGATTGCGAATTCGTGGCATGTGCTCAATGGGTCCACAGGTTCACAAAAGTCAAAGGATCAGCTCTCCCTCGTGGTTCGGATTTGTGGTTTGGCTAGGGGGATGGCTTTCCATCCCTCTTCAAGAACCCAAAGATCAAATCCAATAAGTACAAATTGGAGGGTACCTGACATGAGGACAGTGTGTTGTATGGCTCGCTACCTGGTCTCTACCTCATGCAAGCCACTAGAACCTTCCCAAAGTTCTGCCCTTGTCAACACATAAGCATCTGTGACTTTCAAGCACCTGCTTACCTGCCTGCAAAGTAAAGGAACCCCTACGTAGAAGCACCCAAAAAAAGACGTGGAACAACTTTTCGTCCGTGTTTTTTCTCTCAAAACATGTCGAGTCACAAGGTGATCTGAAAATTGACCCCCCCCAGGTCATCCACCTCTGCCAGGGTGTCCGAGGGGAACTTCCGAGTTCTGATCTGCAGACTCTTTGGCGCCGGTTGATTTGAAGTGCCCACCCAGCGCCAATCCTGCGGATCGATCCACCGATAAGAGGCGACCGGGTCGTTTTGGCAACGAGTGAAACCGAATCGAAGGGACGCCAAAGAGGGGATCTGTGCGGGTGTGTTCCCTGTTTTTAGGGGACCCCAAAAATCTCGGTTGTCAAAGTTTGTCTTAAACCATCACACTCAAAACAAGACATTCTCAGATGGGAGAGCCCAAAAACCAAAGGATTTCCCGGCATGTTGGAACATCACCCTTGTGATTCCCACATGGGCCAGCCACACGACTACATTATCGCTTTGCAGGGGATTCCCTTGGTATCACAGAAAATTGCGATAAACACCATTCTCCAGAACCATAAGGGAAAATCGAGGGCAGCCAAACAAGGCAAGTCAAACAGAAAAGCTAAGTCTGGCAATGTCAAGGGCTCAGCTTACGGGTCCCTTGCCAGAAACGGCGAAACGGACACAGCGGGGGTCTGGGAGAAAAAAACAGATCTTCCTGGGATCTGAACGCATCAGTCCTTTTTTGGCCCTTTCCACGCGGCTCTGCTGAAGTTTAGGTGGGCCAGAAAACACCAAACTGATCCAAAACTTCCCCCAATTTGTCGGAGACGAAGGCGTCACCTTTCGCCACGACTAGCCATGGGTGACCGAAACGGGAAAACCAAAACGTCAGCTCCGGTCGATTCGCTTCAGTCGGTCTCGTTCGACAGTGAGGCCCAGCCATTGGGACGTGCCCTGTCAAATTGGGAGGGGAGGGGGAGAAAATAAAACAAAAAAACAAGCCCCTCATGTGAAATAAATGCGGGGAAAACAACTTGCGCTGCTTAGCGGGGAAATGACAAAAATGGGCCCAAAACCCTTCCGTCGCCCATTGTTGAGGGCCTTCCACTCTGTCCCTGCTTTAGATTTGTTTCACTCGTTGAAACCAATGTCTGAGTGGTTCAGTGACCCTGGAAAAAATTGGAAGTTCCCATTTGGGGAAGTTCCCATGTGTAATGGGGCAGCCAGAGTTGCCACTGAGCTGAGATGGGGAAGGCACAGTTGGCCCTCCGACAGTCCTGACCGCCGGGCAGGTCCACGCTCTCTCTGGGCGAAGGGTTGCTGAAGCTTTGCTCAAAGGTCGTGCCAGGAGCAAAGGTGAAGCCAACTGACACAAAGCCTGCCAAACACAGAGGCTGCATGCATGCTCTTGTTTGTTTGCTTGTTTGTTTGTTTGTTTGTTTGTTTGTTTGGTTGTTTGATTGTTTGTTTGTTTGCTTGGTTGTTTGTTTGCTTGTGTGTTTGGTTGTTTGGTTGTTTGTTTGGTTGTTTGATTGATTGTTTGTTTGCTTGTTTGTTTGGTTGTTTGTTTGTTTGTTTGATTGTTTGTTTGTTTGTTTGTTTGATTGTTTGCTGGTTGGCTGTTTGTTTGTGTGTTTGCTTGTTTGTTTGGCTGTTTTGTTGTTTGTTTGTTTGCTTGATTGTTTGGTTGTTTGGTTGTTTGTTTGTTTGGTTGGCTGTTTGGTTGTATGATTGTTTGTTTTTTTGGTTGGTTGCTTGTTTGTTGGATTGTTTGTTTGGTTGTTGCTTTGTTTGTTTGTGTGTTTGTTTGTTTGGTTGTTTGGTTGTTTGGTTGCTTGTTTGATTGTTTGTTTGGTTGGTTGGTTGGTTGTGTGTTTGCTTGGTGTTTTGTTGGCTTGTTTGTGTGTTTGCTGGATTGATTGGTGGTTTGATTGTTTTCTTATTTGGTTGGTTGCTTGTTTCTTGGTTTGTTTGTTTGGTTGCTTTGTTTGGTTGGTTGGTTGGTTGATTGTTTGTTTGTTTGTTTGTTGGTTGTTTATTGTTTGTTTGTTTGTTTGTTGTTGTTTCTTTGTTTGTTTGTTTGTTTGTTTGTTGTTTGTTTGTTTGTTTGTTTGTTTGTTGTTTGTTGTTTGTTGTTTGTTTTATGTGTTGATTGATTGTTTGGTTGGTTGTTTGGTTGATTGTTTTGTTTGTTTGCTTGTTTGGTTGTTTGATTGTTTGTTGGTTTGTTTGTTTGGTTGGTTGTTTTGCTTGCTTGTTTCTTTGTTTGTTTGTTTGTTTGTTTGGTTGTTTGTTTGTTTGTTTGTTTGGTTGTTTGGTTGTTTGGTTGTTTGGTTGGTTATGTGTTTGATTGATTGTTTGGTTGGTTGTTTGGTTGATTGTTTTGTTTGTTTGCTTGTTTGGTTGTTTGATTGTTTGTTGGTTTGTTTGTTTGGTTGGTTGTTTTGCTTGCTTGTTTCTTTGTTTGTTTGTTTGTTTGTTTGGTTGTTTGTTTGTTTGTTTGTTTGGTTGTTTGGTTGTTTGGTTGTTTGGTTGGTTATGTGTTTGATTGATTGTTTGGTTGGTTGTTTGGTTGATTGTTTTGTTTGTTTGCTTGTTTGGTTGTTTGATTGTTTGTTGGTTTGTTTGGTTGGTTGTTTGGTTGTTTGTTTGTTTGCTTGGTTGGTTGTTTGGTTGTATGATTGTCTGTTTTCTTGGTTGGTTGCTTGTTTGTTGGTTTGTGTGTTTGGTTTCTTTTTTTGTTGGTTGGTTTGTTTCTTTGTTGGTTTGTTTGGTTGGTTGTTTGGTTGGTTGTTTGGTTGTTTGTTGGTTTGCTTGCTTGCTTACTTTCTTGCTTAAGTCATTAATCAATAGATCGATGGATGGATTGATGGATCAATCGATTGATGGATGGATTTGATTTATTCATTGATTGATTCTTTCCTGTTTCGGATGGCTCATGCAGGGTCTTCCTTTGGGCGTCCTTTCAATAAGTCCGAAGGGGTGCGTGGACCGACACAAGGTGCATCAACGAAACATGGAAACGCACTCCCTTTCTTTTGTGGAGGTGGAGAGGAAACATCAAAAGGAGACCAACCATTAGATGCCTCCTTCCGGAAACGCCCCGAAACTTGTCAAAGCTATGAATCCTTGTTAGGGAGGGCCTTCGACGAAACCAACTATTTCTCAAAGCCCCTTGACGTCCACCCAATCGCCGAACCATCTCCCCCTGAAACACAACGAAGGAACACCATTGATCAGGGCACAAGTATCCAGAACTGGCAGGCGCCCACAACTCGGCCACGGTTCAAGGCACATAGTGCCGAAGCTTTGCGCTACACATCACCACGCCCAACATGCAACCCGGGTTGTGTAGGGTTCGTCTCAAAATGGCGGACCCACACACTGGGTGTCCTTTTCCTTTCCCTTGAACATTACCCCAAACGTGGCCCTCAAGAAAAAGGCATGCTCAACGAAGCAAAACGAATCGGTGTGTTTCTGAGGGGATGGGATCCGCTTGCGCTGCCACAAGAACAACACGCAGAACAAAAACACACCCGCCCATCGAGCAAAGAATGGGCAAACATCCTGCAGGCTGGATGAAACGGGGAAAAACAAGGGATTCTGTGCGTCCGGCGCAGGTGGATCTTGCGCGCCTCTTCTCTGGGTTTGGAAGAAGACCTCGTAAGGTGGTGGTCCCGCGGGGAGCTGTTGCATGTTCAGAACGGCCGAGGAGTCCGCTTGGTTCACCTCGTGAGCATTCCAAAATGGTTGTTTGATTGTGTTGGTCCACTACTGGACATAGCTTCTCGTATTTCTTTCCAGGGGGCGAAAACGCACATGGAAAGAAGAACTATTTGCTTTTTGAGGCTTATTTGTCCCTTGTTTCGTCCATCCACATTGCTTTGCATCAAACAGGTCTGTGTGAGTGCAGCGTGCCGCTTGCAAAACTCACCTGGTGAAGTATATCTTTCCCACGTGTTGTTCAGATCAGATCAACAAGTCCACTGGTGGGTTTGTCAGGACTTGATCCCCCCAAAGAAGTTTGTTGTGGAAAAACCATCCCTTGGTATGACCGCATAAAAGCCTAAAACCATCGAAATATTCCGCAACCATGTCCAAGGTCAAGGTCTACCGTGTCACACAAAACAGAATACCCCTTTTGTGCAGGTACCTGTGTTTGTAACACCAAACCAACCCCCCCCCCCCCAATGTTCCTTCCATTTGCTTCGGCCCCCCGGAACAAAACATATTTCCAGTAGTTATAGGTTCCCTTTAAAACCATCCTACACCATCTAAGCAACCCTGGTTTCTGATGTACCAAGAAACATTACTGTTTTTCAACCATCTCGTCAGTTCGTGGTGGAAAAAAAAACAAATGTGAATCCGCTACTTGGAAATATGTCCAGTGAAATTCCTTTCCCTTTGAGGACCAAGGGAACCAAACATCTTCCGCACATGGGTATGAATCAAATTAAACCACCAGGAATCGGACCGCAGGTTTTAGTCTCTGTTTGCATTTGCCAGGGCTTTATTGGGGGTACCTATTTTGGACCAACAACTTCAAATGGAAGGTGCCCCATTTCTTTTCAACCATCGTTCTTTTCAAAAACCAGCTGTAGATCCGGATCCCTTGAAAGAATGGAACTGGAAGTGTCCCCTAGAATGCCTCATTTCAGAAGAAACAAACACCATAATTGTGAATCCACTACTTGGGAATATGTTAACATTGAACTTCCTTTCCCTTTAAAACTGACGTGACCCAAAATGGAACCCTGATAAGTGGAATCATGCCCATTTGTGGCAAGGGGATTGTCCCTTGCTAACCTTCATGAATCCCCGGGTTTTGAGCACGTGGCTCAATTGGGGATGACTCTTTTTCGTTTCGGACTCGGACCCCAAGTTGGCTTCCTTTTGGTTTTCCTTTTGGTCGGAGCCACTCCCAAGTGCGCAAATAGGACCTGTCTGATGAGACCCCTTTTGGCAAACCATCGGGATGAAGCGCCAATTCACCATTGCCCAGGTCCTCCAGTAGAGAGGTTTGAATAAGAGTACCATTTTTTCTGTAGTCACTTTTAGTAGGGTTGAAGCCTCCCCAAAAAAAGAAAGGGTAAAAGTTGGCACCAGTTGCTGGGGGGCCTAGCCTATAAACAATGTAATAAACCCACCAACTGGTCCAGGATCTTGTCCACCCACAGTACTGTGGACAAAATCCTGCACTACATAAGAAACCCCTGGTTTTTCTGATTCGATTCCCCTGCAAATACCAACAAAAACAACGGGTTTTCGAAGTGGTTTAACGAGTCGGGCTGAGCGGCGGAGGCCCAGAAGAAGCCCGGCTGCTTCTTGCTTTGGCCCGGCGAGCAGGGCACCGAGCGGGTGCAGGTGGCCGGGCACCCGGCGGTGGGGGTGGTCATGAAGTCCTCCTGGCAAACAAATTCTCCGAAACAGGAGGGGGGGGCGGGGGGGCGGACGGGGGGGGAGTTGGGAGGAGTTGGGAGGAGTTGGGGGTTAGGGGTTGGGGAACAAACCAATTCTCCGCTGGGTGGGGGGAAGGGAGGGGGGGGGGAAGGGAACGGGTGAGGGAGGGGTTGGGGGGAAGGGGGGGAAGGGAGGGGAAGGGGGAAGGGGGTGGAAGTTTCCCTTTCAATCACCATTGGGGGATTTTAAGGGTGTGAATTTGCATGACGTAGAGTGCCGGAGCCTTCGGTTTGCTTAACCAAAGGGGGTTCCAACAAAACGAGACAAAGCCCGACGTGTGGTAAACCTCTTGTTCACAGGAGACTCTTGGCTCCCAGGTTACATCCGTGGAGAAGAAAAGAAAGGGTGTGAACAAAAGCAAACCAGACAAGGGATTATCTACTCTACTGGGTATGCAAAAGGGGCACAAGCAACCGTGCATGGAGACCTAGACTCACCTTCTCCCTTGGCTAGGGGTACATGAACAACTGTTTAGGCCTTGGCTCAAATCACGAAGAAAAAACAAACAACGAACACCTCCAAGAGTGCTGTCAACCGGCAAGGAAAAGCCTGTCTTGGAGACTGGCGAGCCACTGCGAATCCTGAGATCGGAACCTCCAGTCCCAAGATCCAGACAAAAAGAAGAAAACGACGCCGACGTCTCGCAGTCTCAAAGTCATCCCCCGGATTCAAACGGCAGCTGAGCTCCAAAAAAGATGGATGCGAGCCTCAAGCTTCTGACTCCTGGCAGAGCTTTTTCGAGGGGTCCGGTGCCATTCGAGAACACGCACCGAGAGCGTCGAGAGGCAAAGCGAGGGGTTCTTTTAGATGCCCAAGCCAAAATCGAGCCGAAGGATTGTCTAGCTTTCGAGGAGTTGTGTAACAAAGGCTGAAGAGGAGACCAGATGCCATCTGGAATTGGCGACTTTAAGCTTTGAACAACATGATTGAACCAGGCCTTTGAAAAAAAAAAAAAAACGTTGCTCAGCTTGGACCATGGCACATGTTGCCTCTGTCGCTTGTCTAAGGCTGAAAACCCATGTCTTCCATAGCCACAAAATGACAGCTTTCTATGGGTTCTGTTGGGGCAGCTTGAGCAAAACACAAAACCAGGGCTCCCTGCAGAACATATATCCAAGTGTCGCCCAGTGGCCTGGTAGAGAAAGGAAGTCGTGGTCGAATCTTTTGTGGAGGGTCCAGAACCTATCCAACAAAAAGGGTTTCGAAGGGTGCCTCTTGAGCAACTGGGAAACTTGTTGTCATAAAATGAGGAGTTGAGACTTGCAGGCGAAAGTGAAACCGCTCAAACATGTTTCGACTCTGAGCCTGGTTCTGTTGCTCCATTCTTCAACCGGTACCACCAAAATGGGAGCTTCCCGGACACAGCTCCGATTTCCCAAAGTGATCGGAGCTAAGAAACCCAAAAAGTATCTTGAATCTTTGGCACATGGCACCCTTTGAAACCCTTTTTGCTGGACAGTGATCCACGAATTCCTTTCTCCAGCGCCACTGGACGTCGAGCCCGGAACCCAAGAGTTGATGGGCTTGAAGTAACCAACCCCAGTAGAGTTCTTTCGTCCCGGAGAACATCGGCTTCGAATCAGTTGGAATGGATTCTCGCTCCCCGACTGCAAACAAAAAGGGGCCAAACTGTGTGTTTGCCACTAAAATGGTCCAAACCCCCAAAAGTTCAAAAACAAACTCAGGTAAAACCCCATTCAGCCTGGTTTTCTACCCAGCCGATCCAACCTCCAGTGAACTTCGCCGGTTTTCACATCGCTCCTGGAAGTCCGGAAAGCTCTCGCTAGAGCTGGAGCTCTCCTGAAAGTTGGTTGCTGCGTCTCGGAGAAAGAAAAAAAGGAACAACAAAACGGATGCGATTCTCAGACGTGGACAGTTCCGGATGATTTGAACAACTTTGGGGGTCGTTTAGGGGTTTGGGTTTTGGGTTTAAAGGGCAAGATTCACCATGAAAAACTCATTGAAGTTTCTGGTCGCATTAAAAGGGGAACCCTTGCAACAAGGGATTTTGTTTTATGAGAAAAAGACATGAGGCATCTTTGTTTGTTGCGTTCAAGGGGAACCCTTCCAAAAAGTTGAAAACACGCTGGGACCGGGGGCCGAGAAAGTGAGTTCACAACGATTCCTGAACTGGGACTTCGCCATGATATTTGGGTCTGCCTTGTTTTAATGGTTTGTGTGAGTTTGGCAGCGTTTTGCATCGGGCAACCAACATATAGTACGTTCAACTCGATTTCCCGGGGTCAAGTCAGCAGAAAACTCGCCCAGCGGCCAAGTCGCATTTCTGGTTTGGGGGCGGCCTTGGCGGTCTGGGGAACTTGATAGGCCTTGCTGAAGGCAAGCGGGACTCATGAGGCTACAGGCAAAAAGAAGCGACGGACACCATAAGAAATGTGGCTTCAGCCGAGATCGGCCACCATGGCTATTTCAATCGGCGATTTCCATGGTGAGTTAGAATCCGACACATTGAGATATGTATCGCGCGGCATGAAATTGCATGCGTGGCAAGGACATTGAAAGTACAGCGTTCCTCTCTTGAAGGGAACACTGATCACCATGTAAATGGCCATATGGCTGTGGGTCAAAACCAGGTACCCAAAATGGAACCCTGGAAAATGGAACCAAGGACTAAAACCTGCGGTCCCCTGGTGGTTTCATTTTGACCCATACCCAGATGTTCCGCTGCCTGGCCAAAGCAAGTACTCTAAAAAGCACGCGGACGACAACGAGTATCCCCCCACAGAAAATACCAAGACAGAAAGCAATGCCCAAACCGAACATGGTGCAAAACACCTAGCTTGACATATACCAAGCACAAACGACAAGCTCAAATCTAGGGCCAGGGTTAAAACATTAGCCTACCATCCGTAGGATGCTGAAGACGCGCTATATGTTGCCGGACTGGAGATACAACAGCAAGCTAGGCACCTTAGAAACCGATAGAAGCACACTCAGACATATGCTACGTGGTGTCCATGCTAAGCATGTTCTATGCGCTGCTACACGTCTGTGTGTTTGGCTGATGTCAAACGTGTTCTGCGATTAGGTGACCCCTAGTTTCATTCGACCTTCGCCCCTTGGAGTGTGTTTTCGGGTGGGGGTGCCAGTCGAAAGCAGTTTACTCCGCACTCAAAAGTATATGCAAAGCAAAGTAGATTCCGCGAGCTCAAGTCCCAGCTACTTGCGCCATTAAGAGAACGAAGCTGTGCCATCTTTCACTTTGTAAACGATTGCCAGTTGTTACACATTGCTATGTGGAATTGTGACGACTTGTCGTGGGTATTGTGTCAAAGGGGGCTGGCACCGATTCGCCACTTGTCGGTCCTCGACCTGCCGCGGCACAGCCGCAGATCGCAGCAGACCCAGACAAATTGCAAAGCCGCCCAGAGCAACTAGCGTCCGCCACCTGTCAAGAAACACACGAACGAGCCCCGCAGGAACTTGGGAACCCAAACATCCATTTGCTTTTTCGCTCTTGGGAAAAACGAGAAACATATTGCCAGCCGTAATAAGTTCCCTTTAAAGAGCAGCAAGGGGAAACAATATTCTTAAGCAAATGGACGCAACACCCACTGAGAAAGAATAAGTTTTGCTGCAAACTGATCCAAGAACAAACTTGGTGCGCTGATTCGCCTGGTCCAAAGGATCATAGCCATCGCACCTGTGAGTTCACAAATCCAAATTGCAAGTGTCACAACTCAGCCCGCGCTCGACCTCGTCTCCTTGAAAAATCGGTGGACAGGCACATCAGTGAAAGCATGCTGAGTCAACGATCTGAAAATAGACACCGCAATTCAAACTCCGGGGACCAAAATGGAGCCTATTTTCGTGCTTTGCGCGAAAAGGTACGTCACTGGGATCCGAGCCTCCGTCGAAATGACCGTCCCAGAAAGTGTATCTCGCTTTATGAGTCCGATCATTCTCCCGGTGTATCCTTCAAAGTTCTGAGTCCACTCCCCATATGCGTGTATATGTATATATGTATATAAGTATAAGTAATATGTATGCAGATTTTTGGCATGGGTGTCATCACTCCGGCCGGGCGCACGGCGCACCTGGGTGACCGGATTCGATCCAGTCCCCGCTCCAGCAAGGACTCCTCCTCGCTGAGCATCCGCGAGCGGCCGGCAGAAGCGGCGGCGCATTTCACGGCGGTAGCGTCACGTGCCAACAAAAATACCAAGCGACTTGTGAATCCACAGCCTGAATCTACTTGGACATATGTCCTGTAAAATCCCTTTCCCTTCAAAAACCAAGGGAACCCAGATCTTCAGCAAATGGAAGGTCCCCCATTTGAGTCATACTCAATACCCGGCGTTAAAATGGTCAACCCAGAACCATGCTTCAAGAATTAAGAAGGCGGATATCCGCAGCTATTTGTGGCAAGAGGATTGTCCCTTACTAACCTTCATCTACCCGGGCTTTGATTGAGATTGGAGTATGCTCCCTTCCGAGCCTCCTACAAAGAAGCGGAATGCTGTTCATGGTCGTGCAAAATCCCCAACGGTCGGATGCAAGGTGCTCGGGGCAACTGCACCTGTGCTGGGAATTTATGTTGTGTGACTTAAACATGATCCTTGATGCGGACATCACGCGCAACTCAGAAAAGGAACCAATTGCACGCAATCGATCGGCAACCTTCATATGAGGCATCTGCCGCTGCCCAAGTGGAGGAGCCGGCTCCGTGCACTCCGGCGCGCACCGACGTGTTGCTTTTTCTTCTCAGACACGGAATTTTACCGTCGTTAAAAGCAGGGGACGAGTGAAACATCGATGCCCAAAGGGTCCAAGTGGAAGTCGAGGAGGGGTGAAGGTCCCAAGGTGCGTCTCGCGAGGGACTTGGACCAAAAAGGCTGCTACTCAAGAAGGGCTTGGGTAGCCCCGATTCCAAGGAGCACTTTGCTCCTGCAACTTGAGACACTAGTACAGTATCTGACTCCGTGAATTCGCTATCGGTTCGAGCGCTAAAAGCACATGGACCTCTTGTAGGTCCACGATGGTCTATGCTCAAATCCGGCTGAGGGCTGAATGACTGCGAGAAACCCCATTGGCTTGGGAGCTCAAACATCCGATTCATGACCCAAAACGGAGCAAGCGATGAAATCCGGACGAAGGATGACTCAAGCACTTGGATTCATTTCTTCCCGACTCGTGGACATTCAACCCCGGCTTTTTCTCTGAACTCATCCCAAGGAGAGCCCCTGGCCCCCCGCAAGGTTGAAGTTCTGCTGCCCGCCGGGCTGGAAGGAGGATGGGTTGGCGTTGGCTTGCCAATTCCTCGCGCCCCGTCAGCCCGTCAGCCCGTCAGCCCCCGCCAGCCGCTCCGTGGCTCTGCGTGTGTCAACAAAACACCCCCACAAATTGAGAGGTGTCCTCTTGGTTTCCAAACACCATCCCAAAAAGAGTACCATGAAAAAAAGCCACACCCTTGCTTCCAGGTCAAATAGCCCCTCACAAATAGGCGCCCAAAATTTTAAACCCTGGCGAATGGAACCAAGGATGAGAACACCTGCGGTCCGATTCCTGGTTCCATTTTGACCCATTCCCCAATTCCCGGAAGGCGGCGCTTCGCCCTTTGGCGGCACATGAAAGCAGCTGAAGGGTTTCCAAAGGACTCAAAGGGCACCCGAAAAACTCGTGGTGCTAGGGGTACCGGATCCATTTCCATTCTGACCCGACACCCAGCAAGAAACCGATCCGGTTGAAAAGAGCGATGCTTGAAAAGAGTTTGGGTTGAATCGAGTCAACCCCTCGAGTTCTTAGGGGACTCCTCCCCAACAAATTTTCTTGGAGCCCCCCGGGTTGCCAGGGCACACCACCTGCACCGCTGTGGGGCTCACGCCGATTTCTTCCAAGTTGTCGGACAGCACGCGCTGGGCGTTGCTCGAAGTGAACCCGGACAGGCGCTGACAAACGCTCGTGCCTCATGTCTCAAAATGGGCAACTTGTTGGATGGGAAAGGGAGACGAAAAGGAGACGAGCCATTTTTAGCGAGCGAGCCGCCATGGGCTTTTCTCAGTTGTTCTATGAATTTACACTGGAAAAACGCAAGGCCCCATGGCCCCTTCTGCTATTTTAAGGGCTGAGAAACACGCAGGTTTCGCTCCCCGAACTCCTTTTCCGGTAGGGGAGGGGTGACATAAAGCTCTTGACGCCGTACAAACACTTGGGTCATGAGCGCGCACTCCACAAATTAACATGGGACCCCCAACACCCACTCGAGGAATCTCCTGGACCCCCTTGTTGGAACCGTTCCAAAATAGAACTTAAACATGTTTCAAGGAGTGATAAATGAATACATCCACTTTCTGGGCCCAACACCGTGCTTTGTTCTTCAAGAAATGTATTTCGCAACAGCCCCGGGGGGTACAAGGCTTCTGACAAGGGAACTTGCCTGGAGGAATTGCACCAACAAAATTTCACCAGGAGATTGCGCACAGAACTTGCACAAACGATTTCGCACAAGATAGCTTGTGCGGAGAAACAGCACAGACATGTCGCAAAGATAGTTTGCGCAAATATGTTGCAACGATAACTTGCACAAGATAATTTGCACAAAGGCACATAGTTTGCACAACAACTTTTGAACGAAGGCACTGTACGCGAGAAATTGCGCAAATCAACTGCAAACCAAATTGCTTGATAACTTGCACAAAATGCTTTGTCCAGAGAAAACAAGGGGGAAAAACACACACAACAATGCACAAAGCAAATATTGTGATCATACTTTGCACAAGTGAAGTTGCAATAGGCATTTGCACAGAGGCTTGGAAAGCAAGATTGCACACTTGAACTTGCACGGGCGCATTTGCGCAAGAAATCCTACACAAGCACACATCACGAAGACTTTTGCGCAAGAAAATGTGCACAACAGACTCCAGCTCATCTTTTGAGCTGCAAAATGCCGCGACTGCGGGATGCGTGTCAGCTCGCAATGCCAGAAAATAATGTTTGTGGCCCTCAACCCCGCTGCGAACGCCTATTGAGCCCGGCATGTTTAGCTTTGGCATTCGGGAAACTACTCACTTAGGTGTGTGTCAAAAAAAAAACAACAAGCTCCCTTAGGAACCCGTATGAATGTTGGGCGCGGAAGGGGTTGATGATCATCCCAATCCAAGCCATTGGAAACCGGCGGGGCCTAAGACAAACCGATGTTTATTGTCCGTCGCCGTTGCGCGCGTAAGCCAGGTGCAATATCTAAGGGCCACTCTTGCTTGGGTAGCCGACTTTACAGGGTGCGACCCAAAAACAAAAACAAGGGCGCTGGCTGTCTGCTGTGTTTGGGTCGGAGAAACCGTCAAAAAGTGAACACGAAGTTTAAACCGTCGAATTTATAGCATGGGTGTTGCATGCCCTCAAACCCTGACAGAACCACTCGGTAACCTAGGAAACACTTGCTCCACACACTTACATGGGACCCCTCCTGGTGCCTAGCAGGGCATTTGGGATTTCCGGCATAGCTTCTCCTTCGCAATGGTTGGTATCCCCCATCTTCCGAGCAAGCCAGGAGACCCACAGGGAATCCTGTTCAGGTTGGCTAGTGTTCACGCCTGCCGGTGTCGCTTGAAGCTCGCAGAGTTGCAACCAAGAAGCTGGCTGTCCTGCCTCTGACCCGCACCTAGCATCCGAATCCAAATCGGCTTCCCTACCAGCGCAACATGCCAACATGGTCCCGAATCAATTTGAGAACACCCTCCCTTTGAGCACCGGGCAATGATTGCCGGTACTGTTGCCTATCGTCTGTCGGATTCCCTGTGCAGGTGGAACAAAAAGGCCCCAAACAATCTCTGTCACTGACTTGAAACGATCACGTCTTTGCCATATTGTTTAGATCGCTGCGAACGTCTTCTCCCTCAATCGATTAATCTACAAGCCCCTCCAAAACCTCCTTCCCTGCATTCCCAGTCCCCGCCTCCTTACTTCGCTTGATCTCTGAAACACGAACACAACGCGCCCACGCACCTGCACCTCGCACACACACACACAAACACACCACGCGTCGTGGCCTGTGGCGGATAGCTTGCCGTCCGCATGTGCCCTAGATGGTCATGGCTGGTCCCCATTCGTACTTCGTTTGTCACTCTAAAGCACGAGTCCTTGGGCCTTTAAACAGGAAAGCTGCAACTAAATCAACACCCGACGGGGCTATGAAGCAATCCCCTAAATGTTCCAGGCCAAGTCGTTGCCACGGTCAAGTCGTTGCCAGTTGCAAGGGCTATACGGATGACTTTTGGACGGCCTGGAAGCACACGGGCACCGTGTCCTGCAGCCTGCGTCGAAGCAGCCGCTGCCCCGCCGCCGCGCAGTTCAGCACAATGTCCACCGCGGTCTCACCGACAAAGGCACCCCCAAAGAACCAAAGGTGGGCAAAGCGCCAAATCTATACAGACAAACAGTTTATCTCACTGTCAAAAGCAGGAGTCTTGTTCGAATGCAGGCGGTGGAAGAATGCATCCTGGTCGTAATCCTTTCCCCAAAGGTCTCCCTAATAATAAATACTTTTAGAATAGGCCAATACTAAACCAATTCTAAAGTAGGCATTTTCCTGCCCGTACTCAATTCCAGCCCCATTAGGGGGACCCGCACGTGTCCTTTACTAATTACGGCTGTACTACAAAGTTGCGAATTCGAGCGAGCTGTTTACACAGAACAAGAGGTGCCTCCACAACATTCCCTCCAGAACCAGGGGACCCCTAATAATAAAAATTGTTTTGCCGGCGTTTGGTCTTTCTTCTTCTTTTTTTTTGATGGGGGGGGGAGCGTTTTATTATTAGGGGGAAGGGATTACTGCTGAACAACCGGCTTCCCCATGTTGCCTGTTTCATCAAGGCAACAAGTCAAGAACAACTTCTGTTCTATCCAAGAAGCACTCTAAGTCCTTGCCCTTTGACTACTGTCCGACCTCGCCATGTTTTGCAGGGTGAAGGCTGAACATGTAACCCGGAACCTCAACAGGCAGCTTGACCCGATCCTCGGAGACCTTGGGGCCGGATAATTCGGCAATGGTCTTCTTCAAGACCCTCACATACTCCGGCTCACCTGAGTTCGGGGACCAAAGCAAACAGATTGGTTGGAAGGGAAAAGGGAACCATGGGAACCGAAAAGGAAAAAACAACTCAAGACGGTAGGCCAAGCCTGGCACTTCTTTATGGGCGACACCTGGCTGTGAACCATGACACTGCAACGCTTGACCCATTGAAACCCCAAATGCAAGGCAGAGAGGGAATCTTAGTTACGAGTCATAGAACTTGGGACCCCCAATGACCCCCAACCACACCTCCAACAAATCATCTTGAACAGTCATCAAAAGGTAACTATGGGAGCATGGTGTTTAGCATCGCCCAGACAAAGACGAGCGAGAGCGCATACTCAGTCAAATGTATTCGTCGCCAGATCGGCTTGGTCGCTGTTTACCCCCCTGCACAAAGTTTAACTTTTTGGGGGTTTAGTGGAAAACCCAACTTGATTTCCCAAAAAGTTAAAGCCTAAAGGTCCAACCCAATAGCAGTCAAGTCGGGGTCCTGCAAACACCGGAGGTACATGCTTACGGGCACAAGTTGAGAAGGCTCATGCAGACCCGCAAAACTTTTGGGGGGCGTTTCTTCATGGAGCTCAAGCCCCCAAAAAACCGGCCCTCAAAACTCGGAAACGCGAGAAATCTGCGAAGCCCCGCAGAAAGTTCTTAACTTTTAGTGGCAAACAGTGAAAGTCCTAACATTAGTTGGCAAAAAGTTAAAGTTAAAAGGTTAATGGAAAACTCATTTGTTGGCAAAAGTTGTTCAGTCCTAACATCCAAGCAACATGAAACAAAGAAAACCAGGTAGCCTTTTTTTGGAGGGGCCTTCCCACTCGAACCGCAAAGTCATCGAATTTCGACGCCCTCAAGGCCAAGACGCTGGTGCCGGTTAAAGGAATGCTGCTCGACAAGGTCAGCGAGCCTCGAAAGAAAAACAACTCAGCACGGGGTGACTGGACCCTCAGAACTCCAACTTAAACATAGGTTAAAGCCCCAAAATTATGGTGAACGTCCTTTCTAAAGGGAAGTTTGAGGGGTAAGGTGTCTTCTTTGGTATTACCATTGGGATGGGTTTCAAAGAGAAACTACAGGGAAAACCACATCAAACAAGAACATGGATTGTTGTTGATATTTTGAGCACCGTTCTCTAAGACGAAATCCCCGAGCCCAGCCAGGTACTAAGAAGCAAATGCCGGCCTTCCGCTAGGAAGAGGGCAACCCCCAGCACAACCTGGGAGACTCCCACGCCCAGGCCGACCGCCAGACCTCCGACATTCGACTCGCCGACTTTCGACTCGCGAGCGAGAGCGACTCTGATGCAAGATGGATTTCCCCCACTTCCAAGGGGAAACATGGGATATACCACCACTATAAAACCGAAAAAGTCAATGGCTATGCACCTTGACTTCCCTTATAGTTTGGGGGGTGGAAACCATCTCACAATCTGTCAGGGTTGGATTTGGAAAGGGTTCTGCGCCAGACCTAGACTTGTGAGAATTGGATTTGGAAAGGGTTCTAGACCCCTGTGAGGGTTGGATTTGGAAAGGTTTCTGCGCTAGACCTAGACCCCTATCTCACAATTTGCGAGGGTTGGATTTGGAACGGACCCCCTATCTCACAATTTGTGAGGGTTGGATTTGGAAAGGGTTCTGCGCCAGACCTAGACCCCCTGAAAAGATTCGAACGTTTTTTTGCTGGCAATGTAACATGCGTAGGGAACCCACAAAGGCAAAACATAGTAATAAGTTTGATAAAATGCCAAGTCTGGCAACGTTATCCCTGGGTTTGGGTGGGTTTCTGTGAATTTTGACGGAGGTACTAATTCCAATGGGTTCGTGTGGCATTGAATGGTGTTGTATGGAATTGCATGGGTTTGATTTGTGTGGTGTTGTATGGCTATGATTGAATTTGTATGGATTTGTGTCGGTTTGTGGGGCATGTGTGTGTGTGTGGAATTGTATGGTTTTGTGCGGGTGCGCATGGTGCTTTGCAGGATGTTCCATGGATTTCGTGGATCCGTTGGAACGCCTCTGCGAAGACTTGCATGCATTGGTGTGAAGTGTGCGTTCAAGACTTGCTGGTGTTGCATAGATATGTGTGTGTGTGTTGCTTTGTGCCTTGCTTGGATGTGCATGGAGTTGCAGGTTTTGTACTTTCTTGCATGAGCTTGCGTGGATTTGCATGAGATTGCAAGCTTTGTGCGGTCTTGCTTCAATTTGCCAGGATTGGCATGGATTTGAGTGCTTGCATGACTTTGCATGGATTGCATATCTATGGATTTGCATCGATAGTTGCACTGATGCAAGCGCCGAGCCAGGTTTTATCGTTCGCCGTCAATGTGTCGAGCTGGAGCGCTGAGAATGCAGTTCTTAATGCGAACGATCTACCCAGAGTGCACTCTGGCAGCGCTGCCAAAACACAACTTTTCAGTTTCAAACAAGTACACGAAATGCACTTTGGCAGCTCCCAGTTCACAGTTCTGAAGTGGACAAGTGGTGACAGAGACGAATTGGCCAATTGAAAGGTTGTCGTGTCCTGTCGTGGTCATAGTTTCGACACGCCTGCAACTTGGACGTTTTGCTCGCTTGCAAGTATAAGAAGGCCTCGGGAACGTGGCCATGGACACGTTAACCTGTCAAGGACTGCGTGAGAACCAAGCATTTGAGAATCCGCACAAAGCTTTACCATGCACCTCTCAGGTAAAGACTCCCTCTTGACAAACTCAGGCACCACCATCACCCCAAGAGTGTCTGCATTTTAGATTGTGCAAGTGCGCTTGTTTGTTTCCCACCGTTTACAAGCTAGGTAGCAACGTACGTTGGTGTTTGCTTACAATGACAGTAGCGATGCGGAGGAAGTC